GCAGCTGATGTCACAATGCTTCCAGAGCTCGGTGTCCATGAGTAGGAAGAACCCCACACATGAAGAAACCATAGCTGATTTGGAAACTACAGTCCCTTCCTGCAGTTTTGTCTGTCAAGGAATGTGAGGCAGGGCAGAGGGTAGACAAGTAGGAAGTAGATTAGAGAGGCCTGTGAAGAGATAGATAAAATCCTTAGCACTCTGCAGATGATCCTGAAGGCAAGGTCCCAGGGGAGTCCATGGGGAAGCGTTTACAAGGAGAAGCAGCTCTGGCTCACAAGGATTACGGGAGCAGCAGTTTGGGGTCTTTAAATTCAGGCCACGTTAACACGAGATCGTCAGACAGGAAGGGCTCTGAAAGGCTAACCTCTTAGTGTTACATCAGTCCAACGGGGCTCCCTCCTAATTTCACACTCTCTTCCTGCGTTCCATGTTCTGAGGCTGGAAAGCGATGCAGAGCGGAGCTTATGTCAGAAGATTAGAAGGAAAGACGGAGCTATTTGGATTTTAATTTGTCTGAAAAGGTTTGGGAATACCCCTCACTGGGCCTTAACATTCTTTTAAGTACAAAGGAGTCTCATGACCTTCCAGAAATAAAGCTATCCATTATGCAAATATTTTTCTAAGTCCTTGATTGCTTTGTATCAAACCCTAGGAACAGTGAGGAACACAGCAGTCATTCATTAAAGAGCTTAAGTATATGGTGGAGATGGATGAAGGGTAGCCGTGAAGTAAGTGGATGCCTTCCCATGGGAGATGCGGTGACTGCCACTGACCAGTTACAGGGCCTGGGGTGGAACTTGGCCTCTCTGTGCCAGGTTTTCATCATCAGCAAATGAAAATCAATAGAAATCCTCTCCTTGGAATGTTGCAAGGGTATTGGCGGAGGCTGCTCACTTGTTCCCAGCTGTCCAGACCTGAAATAATTACACAGAAACTATATTATTTGCCATATTGTTTGGCCAATAGCTTAAGTGTATTTCTAGCTAGCTCTTACATCTTAAATTAACCCATTTCTATTATTTTATATTTTACCACAAGGCTCATGGTTTACCAGCAAGGTTCCTGCAGCGGCTCGTGTTTTTCTCCTCTGGTGGCTACATGGTCTCTCATTGACTCTGCCTACCCTACTCTCTCCTGCATCTGCTTGGAACTCCCACCTTGCCCTACTATGAACTGCAATAGACCCAAAGCAGTTTCTTTATTAACCAATGGTATTCAAAGCATACAGAGGGGAGTCCCACACACAAGGGTTACATGAATGAATTGTAAAGTACTCAGAACTGTGCAGGACATATACAGTCATAGAAAAGCTGATTCTTGTGGTTGTTGGTATTACTGTTATTGTGCTGACCACTAGTGAGGAAAACCTTCAAAAGTGTTCTTTGCAAGCAAGAAATCCCAGAGGAAGTTACCCAGCCTAATCAGCAGCAAATGGCCTGGGGGGTTAGGGGACTTGTGGTAGGGAGAAGGGAAAGGAAAAGAAAGTAGGGAAGGGGCAGAGGTTGCCCACACAGGTGGAGTGTGGAGGAGCCCAGCAAGTGAAAGCAGAGACCATTCCCCTTTGTTGTAGAGGTAATTCTGATGAAGAGGCAAAGGGTTAAGGATAAATAGTAATGAGACCAATGGGTCACGTTAAGGAATTTGAATTTTTAAAAATCCATTTACAGAAGCATTATTTCTGGGTATTTCTGAAGTTCCCCTTAAGCTGTGGTAGCAAAACTGAACTGAACAAAAACAATTTCTGTTGATCAGAACAGAAAATTAAGTGTGACTGATGCCCTCAGGCACCTGGCCTTAGCTACTGTAGATCTCTGGGGCTTGGTTAACAATAACTGTTCTCCTGTGGTGGTGGTTGTTGGGATTTGAAGAGGCTTACCTCAACCCACATCCCATGATAAGTTTGCTTCTCCAGTGGCGTTGTCATGTATATGAATGATCTGGACGGCTGATCACTCAGAGGATAACTCCTGATTAATTCAAACCATTTTAATAATTTTCCCCACTCCCCATTGGTTGGCTGAAGTATGGATGAGCACTTGCCACACCTCTGACCCGAGACCCAAGGGAACACTTCAGGGAAAGTGCTCCTCACTAAAAACAGAACACAAGCTGTCATGATCTTTTCTTGCTGGCTCTACTGCGACTCCCAGAATCACCAGTCCTGTAGCACATCCAAAACATGTAAGATATTACATAGGTATTATTAGAATAGTTTTGTTTTGTTGGAAATTGAAGATTTCTATCAGCTCCCTAAGAAGTAAATGGAGGACTGTGGTATTTCGAGCAGATTAGAGAGCTAAGAGAGATGAATTGACTTATATTAGCCACAAAGAATGAACAAGAACAAACATATGCACCACAAATGTCAGTGTTTCCACGGTGCCAGAATGATGACTGGACTACTGTGCCTACATTCTTCTGCATGATGCAAACAAAAATGCATCTGTACAACGCAACAAGGCTGTAGATAAGCTCTGAAGGCCAAGTGCGAAGAACATTCCTCATACTGAACAGCTAATTCTTAACCTGCTTCTTGACGAGCACAGCCTACTGTGTTTTCCGTTTTGTGTCTATTCTGTCTTGTCATCCCATGGTAGCTGGGTGTTATGAAGGATCGGGGTCTATGTATTTTTGACTTCTTTGGTTACTACATTTGGCATCGTAAGGCTCACAGAATGGACCACACAGCCACATGCTAGTAGAGTAAGGAGGAAGCCTGGTGACCTGCCGACCTGAAGATTCTGAGGACAAAATACCCTTATTAGAAACATGAGGCTCTGCATGGAGAAGCACCCACAAGGAGGGAGGCCTGAGGTGGGTCTCGTTCTTCTGCCTCAGAACACTCACCACGATACTAAAGTGTTAGTGCTATATCAGGAAGATCAGGGTACTTTTAATCCCAACCACAAACAAGCCTGTGATGGTCTAGTCATAGAACTGACAATATTTGCACAGTGAACTTAGCTGACAAGCAAAAGGAAAGGGATCCAAGAGAGTCTAGCATTTCTGAAACTGTGCGTGCACTTGTGCATACATGTGTGAAGTTCAGAAGGTCGAGAACTGACCAGCTGAGGACTCCTCCAGGTCAGCACTCCCCCTAAAGAACTCCTGCTCACCTCACCTGCTGCCGTGAGCCCTGGAACAAACTGTGGGTGAAGCAAATCTTGGCAATTCTTCTGAACAAATGAGGCTACCTTGAGACTTCTAAAATTGGAACTTCCTAAGGAAGTATTCTTACTGAGAAATATATTTTGGAAAGCTGAGTTGCTCCCTCTATTTATCTACCTATCTGGAAGACAGTCTTTGAATTAAACTTGCCTGCTGATATTGACTCTTAGACCACTATTTTAAAAAAACTAAGACCTAATGGACCTGTACTATTTTTCTCATTGCTATGACAAAATACCCAACAGAAGCAATTTAAGAAGGAGAGGGTTGATTTCAGCTCCTAGTTTGAAGGTATAGTTCACCATAGCAGGAAAGGCATGGTGGCAGAATGATGTAGCTGCTGCTTCCACTGCCTCTGCCATCTGAAAACAGAGAGAGATGCATGGCTGGCTTTCTCCTATCCAGAACTGCCACCCATGGATGGTTCCATCCACATTAAGAGTGGGTCTTCCCATACTTCACTTAACCCAGTCTAGAGACTGACTTATAGCCGTGCCCAGAGGTTTGCCTTCTGGATTCTAGATCCTGTCAAATTAACAATCTGTATTAGCCATCACAAGGACTATGTTAGAGAAGACAACAGATCAGGGACTCATTGATCTTGATACCAGAGTAGTTCAAAGAAACTCACAATGCTGTACTTCTGAGGGGCATGTGGAGCTGCCTCTATCCTTGCTATTCCTGGGGCCCAACATGACACTCTAGTGGGGAGAGTAAGCTCTGATCTAGAGACCTCTGGGACAGAGGGGAGTTGGCTATGCTTAGGGTTCTATAAGTAATTGAGGTTACTTGGAAAATACAGGACGGCTTTCAAACAAATGATCTCCTCCATGTTCTTTAAGCCTGTGGGAACTAGGAGCTGTTTCTCAGGGATTACAGCCTGATGCTGACCGTTTTCAGGGTCCCCAGCTTCCTCCTATTTTGTCTTGTTAATCAGTGCTCATAGTAAGCTCCACCCTCAGCGTACACCAGCACACACACCCCAACACAGCAGCAGGAGGCACACGCAAAGAGGCAGAGAGGCAGGGCTTTCAGTTTAAGGCTGTGATAGTT